TTTCAGTCCCTCTAGGCAAATTCCAAGACAGGACCTCATTTAGCAAATACTCTACAGTGATATGAGAATTATTAGGATCAACATCGAAAAGGCCATGCCATAGCTCAAGCGGTTAGTCACTGGATTTCCAACGCAGCGGCCCGGGTTCGATCCCGGGTCTGGTCAAGTGGGATTTGTGGTTGACAAAGTGGCGCTGGGGTGGGTTTTCTCCGAGTACTTCGGTTTCCCCTGCCAATCTTCATTTCACCAAATTCTCCATCAACATAATCACCCGGAGCAGGTACAATAGGCCAATCAGTGGCTGCTGTGCCGAGTGGACCCAGCTGGACTCCACCCCCAACTAAGTGAATCAACATCGAAATATGTGTGCCCAGTTCTTAACAACAGAAAATGTCCTCTTCTATTTCAACTCTGTGTTTCTGATAGAACATTCTAAGCCATTTGTTGTACGGCACGAATCACGACATCCTTATTCATACTGACATAGACTTGGTACTAATAAATTACTAGAAGCATGCAAAAGCTCTTCAAACTAGTGGTGGGGTGGGGAGGGGTATTTTTTGTATCTTTTTTAAATCAAAAGTACACATTTGAAATATGTTTGCATGTGCATGCATGTCTGAAGGTTTGAGACTTTCTTCTCAAACTGAGGCACCTTCAGAGCTACAGCAGCTCATTCAAGGGCAGTTGGTATAGTGAGTAGGCTACAAACTGGTCACTAAGGGGACTGATGTTCAACTTTCAGCACAGGCAGAGATTTTTCTCTTCTCCACAACATCCAGACTGCTCTGGGACCCAGCCTCCTATCCAACACGTACCAGAAGCGGCCTCCATAGTCTAGGGGTAACGTTCCCACCTCATGACTCAAGGAGGAGGTCGTGGAATTTTTAAAGGCAGAAAAATTCAGGGAACAAGTCCTCCACGAGGGACTTTAAGCCGTGGGTCCCGTGCCGTAGATTTATGGCACGTAAAAGATCCTCATGTCTCTAGGAGACCTCTGAGCAAAATTAGGCAAAATGTTTCCCGCCCAAGTAGTTTCCAATGCCTCCGGTAGATGGGGACGTTATCAGGTACCAATGCCAGTAGAGGGCCGACCTCGCTGGCAGAAAGGGGAGAGTTATCGGGTACCACTGCCAGTAGAGGGCCGACCTCGCTGGCAGTAAGGGGAGAGTGCGGGCACCAGTATCAGTAGGGTATGGCGACAGTAGAAATTAAAGGGGGATGTACAATAGACTATTAGTCACGGTGCATGGGGAAACCACCCCCTCTATACTGAATAACTGAACATGTACCAGAGGTTCCTTACCGGGAAGTAAAGCAACAAGAGCCTAAAGATGATCATTCGCCTCTATCTCATGCCGAGGCTAAGAATGCACTAAGCTCTCTGCTTCCCATACACCTTCAGGAAATCATGTTTAATTACGCACAGGGACAACTTTACTTTTACTGGTACTCCTATCACAGTAACATAAAACAGTTCCGTAAGTGCAGATCATTACAACATGAGTCTATAAAAAGAACCGAATCCAATGACCTGGATTCTTTGCCACACTTAACACCATTATCCTGCCTTTATTAGCTTCTTTGCTAGAAAAGTAAACAAATTTACCAATGGCAGACCAAGTCCAGTGCGGGCCCAGTTGACTCCAGCCAACTTCTCACGTAACACATCAGCCACTGGGGACACTAGATTACTAGCAGGGAAAAGTCCCACTTTACATGATGGGCACATGTATCCTGCTGGGGCTGTAGTAGGAGGAAGCTGACGGGCGAACTGATCCAAACATGCCCAGTGATAAACATCTGCACAAAACAGTTCATAATACTTATCATGTATTTATTTACTTCATATCCATGGATATGATACATGATATAGGACAAGTCGAATACTTTACAATATAATAAATAAGAATAATAAAATAATAATAATGTAATAAATAATATAATAATATACTAAGATAATAATAAAATCATGATTCTAATAATAGAACTGATATAATTGTTTAACACACGACACTGCTGTACGCCTCAAGACCCGATCCTTCTATCCCGGCACAAAATAACCTTATATCCTCGATCTCGTTCATGTACTCATACCTACATATTTATTAAATTAACCATTCAAAGAGAAAGAATTCTTCACATAATGCAGAAGCTGCATATAACTTCTGACCGTTTGTGCTAATCTGACTAAACAAGCACAACAATAGCGCTTTTTAATTCTTTAATCCCGTGTTCCTCTTAACATAGCAAAATCTCATTTTAAATTGGAACACAGTAACACCAACCCCTCCACCAAAAATGAGATGACAGCACCATACACCAAAGTTGGGTCATGAAAAGTAAGAACACAAATTCTCCCCCAACCATCCACCTAACAGCTACTTCCCCTGTGTGTGCCTTCCCTGATTCCCCCCCCCTTTTCATTTGTATTCTGGCTCTCACTCCACCTGATACTTCCACTCTGCTTTCTCAGTTTGTTACTGGTGCTGGTGGAAGAGATGTGCACATGGAAAGAAAGGTGGGGAAGCAGGCTGCCAACTCAAACTCACACCAGTTATGTTCATTCTTCCTGTGACCTGTGTAGGGGGTCTTAAATGAAACAGGCAAAGGGTTATTTCTGAAAGGTAACATATCATATTACAGGTCATTAGCCTTCTGATTTACTTTCAGGATGGTTTGACTTACTGAAATAGTTCAAGCATTCTGAACTTGGTTACTGAAGAATGAAATCTTAAATTATACAACATTAAGCTTTTTGGTTAAAGTGCAAAATTCTGTTTCCATGTAATATTTTCGGGCAGAGAACATGTCCCATGATATCATCTTCCTGGTTGGGCTTGATTACAGGGTGGGCCAGACTCAATTAGGCAGTTTTTGATCATTAATAACTAACCAATCAAACAACACACGGGATAATGGGAAAGTACCTTTTGTTGTCGATAGATGGCAGCATCATACGGTATGCTGTGAACGAGGTCAATACTCTGCCTACTTAGTGCGCATCGAGGAAACGTCATGGCCGGTAGACGGTTGTCTATCGAGCAGCGTGTAAAATAAGTGCGCCTTTTCTCAGTTACTAACAATGTATCAGAAGTCCAGTGCAGGATGTTGGAAGAGTTTGGACCGCCAGCAGTCCACAGGGACACAATCGTCTGAATAAGCAAGCAGTTTGATGAAACTGCCAGTGCTTTGAAACCCAAGCATCCTGGTCAGCCGAGAAGGTTGCGTCACGGGGGAAACCTACCTAAAGTTGCTGAGGGAAAGTGTCATCCCAGAACTTCAGAAGAGAGAGAACTTTGATGAACTGTGGTGGCAGCAAGATGGGGCCCCACCACACTTCGCCAATATTGTTCGGGCGTTCTTGCATCAAGTTTTTCCTCAACGCTGGATTGGCCGTCGAGGGCCTGTGGAGTGGCCAGCCCGATCACCTGACATCACCCCACCAGACTTTTTCCTTTGGGGTTACCTCAAAGACAAGGTGTACGCTAATCCCATTGACAGTGTGAAACATCTGCGTGAGGTGATTGTTCAGGAGTTCAATAAAGTTCCGGTGAATATGTGTAGAAAGGCGTGTGAAAATGTTGCTTTGCGTCTGCAAGCCTGTGTTGACTTAGGTGGTGCCCAGGTTGACCAGCATCTTGAAAATCGATGACTTATGTGTGTGCGATTCCATTTTTGTAACCATTGCAATTGTTAACATTTATCAATAAAAATAACATCTAATCAAAAACTGCCTAATTGAGTCTGGCCCACCCTGTAGTATGGAACAGGCCTGGTAAAAAGGCCAGAACCATACTGTACATGTAAAATGCATAAGTTCATGACAATGGTATATTGATACAATCATTGGCTTTTTGGACATTATCCATCATCCTGGACAATATGCATATTCTACACGTTTATTCTTTGCAGTCCAGTGTCATGGCCTGTGCAAGTTAGTGTGCTAAGTACTATTAGGCAATAAACCGAAAGAGAATACTAAGTAGACAACACATTAAATAAGATGAAATATATACATCCCTTACAAAGATAATGAAAATCAGTTTCATGCGTTCTTAACACAAAATATATACATCCTTTACAAAGCTAATGAAAATCAATTTAAAGTGTTCTTAACACTTTTAACTGTGTGAATAACTCACGGTAACAAATAAGTCGCACACAGTCTTCAGTCGCCAGTTCTTTCGTGCACAGTTCACATATGGGGTTATAGTCACTGTCTTGGAGCCACTGCAGATATGACTGAACTATACACTGCAAAAGGGAAATGACGTGTTTAACCTCCCGAACCCGAACAATTATATACATAACAATCCACAAAATCAGGAAATATAAAGCAAGAACCTCACCTTTGGATGATTTGTCACCATACAATGTTCACAAACATTTACACGATGTTCAAAACAAAACTGATTTGTAACCCTCCTCTTTGGACACTTACAGAGACCCATATTTAGTTGAAGTACTTTTCCGGTATACAATGAGTTAACACTGGGACTTCGGCAATCCTGTCAACTCATTATAGTTTACTTCAATTCTTCTATTTGTTACCTAGTTACGGCCAATCTTCTCCGCCACGTCTTCCCGTATCCAACCAAAATAATACGCACCAATTACTCCAGTTGGGTTTACAGATTGTAAAGTTTAAATGGTTACCGTGAACTGACACTCCCTGCCGACCGCTGCCGACGCTCCCGCCCCCGCGTCCTCTGACTTTGGGCCTGATCAAAATCCCCAAAAATTAGGTAATGCAGTAGGCATTACGTACAATCAAAATCCATCCGGAATCAGTACGATCAGTACAGCCACATCAGCGGAGTCTAACGTTGAAGACAAATCAATGATTTTCTTTGCTTGGTCTGTGGCCTTTGCGACGTCCGCGACGACTACTGATCAGTAGGGAAGGTAGGGAAGGAAAGTGTTTGCAAGAATCGTTGGCTTTGCACGTTTAAATGCCACATCAAGAAAGAGGTAACTACGAGTAATCCATAAATTGTGTATATTTTTATACAGATAAATTAATTTAGTGATGTCTTGTATTGTGTGTTCGGAATGTATGTCAACCGCCCTTTGATGGGTTTAAATTTTCCAGCCAATGCTAATATAATGTGTATAATGAAAAGTTACAAGCAGGTTAAGTATTAAAAAATTATATAAGCTTGAAATGACGTGACACCGATAAAATGATGCGAAGTAATTCTGATCGCAGAGCAAGTTCCGTCCAAATGATAACAGTTGATTTGTGTGGGATTGCGCGGTTCGAACCTCGGGTGGGACAATTGCTGGGCTGACGTTTTCATAGCATTCGTCAGGCAGATTCCAAGACAGTACCTCAAATTAGGTCAGGACCACTTTATTCCACATCCAACTAATTCAGTAATAATGCCATTTGATGATACACAGTCTTCAAAATTAAGCGTCATTAAATAAGGCATAAATAAATATTTGTGATCCAGATGCTCAAGTTTAAATTCCTCCAGCACTCCTAACAACCAGCTATGTAGTGTATTTACATTAATGTCTAATAATGTATTCTACATCCTTGGCTTAGTCGTATGTGGAATGTGTATAAATTCTAATTCAGTAACCAAATGTCAAGGCTAACCAGTGTTGAATAAGTGTGTTCCATCAAGCTTGGTGTTCAGGAAGTGAAAGTAGGGTTGAGACCAAAGTAACAACGTTCTGCTTGTAGTGTGGCACAGTGTTACTTTGGTCTAAATCTGCCTTAATTCAAAGATTTAAAGCATGCTATAAGGATAGCGAAAAACCACCATATGACAACTGGCAACAAACAGTATACCATATTTCAGTAGTGCATATTCTTGCATAGGCATAACCCCACCTTAAGGTACAGTGCATCTATGCTGAGGTCAGGGAGGCAAGTCCCATAAATATTAGTAGTGCTAGTGCTCAAAGTCTCCCCATTTCTGTCTACTGTTGTATTTCCCTTCAGTTCCCATTGACCTGTATCAAGTTCAAAGCATTCTTCATTATCATTTATTTCGCTTTATGTGTTTACTGTAGGAGCATTGGACTCTTACTTCCAATGGCACCACTCTCCTACAAAGTACAGACTTTCCGTTCATTTTATCAAGTAAGCTTTGATGTAATTCTTTGAAGATTCAGTCTGCCTCATAGAACAACACTCCATAATTATTAATGTTATATTTTAGCGTCCTGTTGCACTGATTTAAGTCCCTGATTTATTTAATCCGTCTTGCAGTGCATACATTCATTTATCTCCTTCTTTCCCTCGCACTACATGTTTCGGCATAATAATGCCATCTTCAGGTGCTTACTTGTCCACGTCAAACCAGTTCATTGCATGCCATGTTCACACATTAAAATAACTAAAATATGTATCTATCATATACATTGTCAAACGTTAAAAATATTAAAATTGTTCAGGATACCACATCGCTACGTCGCCCCTCACTACGTCAGTCACGCCCATTCTCCTTTGTTGGAGCACTCCTTCACTATCTTGTGTGTTGTGCNTTCAGATAGAAAACATAATGGACATCATGGAGGAGGAAAACACAAACACAGTGTTTTAGACAAAGCACAAGAAGTTCTGGAGAGTATCGATGCCAGCTCACCAGTAATCAGATCCTTTCAGCAGTATGCTGCCGAACTGGACTTCAAGCATGATAAATATGAAAGAATCGTGAAGCTGGGTAGAGACATTACCATTGAGAGCAAGAGAATCATTTTCCTGCTGCACACACTGGATAGGTGAGGGAACCAGATGAATGAAGTGCCCCTTGCACCTCGAGTTCTTTTTCTTGGATGACTAACTTTCAACTAATGTCCACCAGCTAAATTCATACAAGTAGATGAAGTCAAAATACATGTTATTCAGGGGAGCATTTTGTTACTACTACGAATATTTGACTTTTTTCACTTTTTAAACAAAATAAAATTGATTTAATTTTTTATTTCAGCTCTCCTCTCATTTTGACAAAAGCAGCAGTGCTCCTGACCTGTATTTTAAAGGCCCATGGTTTGAATTTCTGTGGGACACTGTCATGACAGATTTTTGGCAGGTTTATTCAGCCCCTCCAGGCAAATGCCAGAATAATACCTCAGATTAAGTCATGATCACTTTCTTCAGTATTTTAATTTGTTATTCACTGTCATTCTGTCATTTGACGCTGCATAGTGTGGGATACTGAAAGCCATATTAATTAATCCACAAAAAAGTAAATAAACTGAATGCTCTCCTTTTAAAATTACAAAGTTTATAGTGACTCATAGCTGCCTGTCCGTGGTCACATTAAATGCAAGGGATGCATTTCTTAAGACCTTGCATAATTCAAGACAAGTTTCCTCACAGGAATAAATGTATTGCTGAATTTTGGGGGGATCTGCATTATTTCAAACTTTGCACATAAAGTGAAACTTTATTATTCTCTACATCACACTATTTCAAATTCGCACAAAATGTGACCACACCGTGTGCATGTGTGGGGCTATTCTGGGTAACTGATGACAATTTTACCTTCACACATTGCCCTGAATAATTGTAACATTAGGACAGAAAACGTCAATACTCGAACTTTCTTGGAGCAGTGTCACATTTTGGAATGTCAGTCTGTCTTGCTTAATCCCTCCTACAAAGAAACCTTTTGCCTTCATATTCTTATTTCAGACCACAGTCTTATTGTACAAATACAATTCAAACACTGTTCAACGTTTTATACTCCATACTCCTTATTCGTAGGGAAAGCAAAAGAAAAACTGTCCTGGCAGAAGCAATGTCACGTCTGATGCAGCTTGTCAATACACATTTCAAGGCTATAGCTAAAGAACTGAAAGGAGAGGATCCTTACCAGTACATGAAAGCATATAGTGCAGGTGAGTGGCAAACAGTGAGTACAGACAAATTCGAAAACTTGTAGTCACATTAAATATTTGTCATGCCATACCACATGTGATCAGTCACAGGCTTCTCACCACAAAGCCCCAAGTTAATTCCCAGGGTTATACACATACATGTATTTTTTATGGCCGAATGCTGGTGGGGCAGGTTTTCCTATTTTCTCTTGCCAGTTATCAACCAGCGCTCCATACTCTTCCATCATCAGTGGCTGGTGGAGCAGTCGCATTTGAGGCTTCAGTACCTAGGGACTCAGTCTCATCCCATTATTAAAACTTAAAACTACATAAGACATATTACAGTATTATTTATTGTACATATTGTGATCTTCTAAATGATAGCACCATGCAGTCTGGCAGGTGGGTTCTGTTTTGAAGGATTCTATCTTTAGAGTAGTACATAGAGTAAATATGTTAACCCCAAAACATTCTCTTCCACATACTAGACCACAGTGTTATAATCAAGACGACCGTAATATGAACTTTCATTATGAAATTGTTAATCTTATATTAATTACTGTATTTCCTAATTTATTTGTGGCAGGTTTGCAAGAATACATTGAAGCAGTGACATTCCATGATTATCTTATGAACAGTAGTCTTCCAAGCTGGACCAAGATTCAAGCAGACCTAAACTACACAAATATGGATGTATCTACTGAACATGAGAGGCCAAACACAACTGTAACTGAAGATAACAGTGAGAACACTCGTTCAGCTGGTTATCACAATGATTTTCCCCTTAAAACCTTTGTCTCACCAGTGGATTACATCCTGGGAGTAGCAGATTTAACAGGAGAGCTGATGCGGAAATGCATCAATAACCTGGGCTCAGGAGATATAGAAGGCTGTTATCAGACTTGTACATTTGTGAGAGAGATTTACAGTGGATTCTTGGGTGTCAGCTGCACAGGATTCAAGGAGATTGCACGGAAAATTGTCACCCTACGCCAGAGTCTTAGCAAGATGGAGAATGCATGTTACATGATTCATGTGCGGGGCTCTGAAATTCCAAAACACATGCTAGCTGATGTCATCAGTGGAACACAGGATGTTTTCCTTGAAGAAGATGAAGGATTCTGCTAGCAAAACCTGAAAGTCATGTTTAAATTAAACTGAGTATTATCCTCTCTGGTACTGTGTGTTTTAAAATAAATAGAACATTTATCAGTAATACTCTCTAGCTTTCTTTAACACATTTGCTGCTGTGAACAAGCTTGTTCATTGACAAATGTCCAGGTTGAAGCTTCTGTAAAGGAATCTGGCTGTTTATGACTGCACTTTGATGTCATTTTAAGTGGTTAGTTGCTGGCTTCCCACCGTGGCGGCCTGGGTTCGATCCCGGGTCTGGTCAAGTGGGATTTGTGGTGGACAAAGTGGCGCTGGGGCGGGTTTTCTCCGAGTACTTCAGTTTCCCCTGCCAATCTTCATTCCACCAAATTCTCCATCATAATCACCCGGGGCAGGCTACAATAAGTCAATCAATGGCCGCCTTGCTGAGTGGATCCAGTTGGGCTCCACCCCCCACTAAGCAAATTTAATTGACATCACTTTTATTTTTTGAAAGCATTCTGTTTCTGTCTGTATCTCTAGCCTAACTCACTGAATATTTATCAGAATGAGAAATGTTTCAAACACAAGATATATTGAAAGTGTTAGTTTCTGAGATAACTGAAGAGGTCTAATGCCATGCATATAATTGCAAATTTCTACATTTAGAATCACCATTTTCCTGACTGCACCCAAAATTGGGGATTATGTTTTATTATTATAAATCGTTATTTGTGCATCTTTTCCCTTCCCTTAATACTGATAATCAGACTATATGGTAGTTTGTATTTGAACATTCTAGCTTAAAACTTATTCAGCAGAGGTGAATATTTAAACAAAATTAAATAATATTCCAAATAATTAAGGCTAAATAAGTTTTTATTACATAGAGAAAATAATGCCAGTGAAAAACCAAGGGGTAAATGTAGCTGCATTGTCTTAGAGCTAATGACAAAAACTATTTGTGTGGAAAATACTTGCAGAGCAGACACTAAACTCAGTATATTTCAGAGCAGAATCCAAATGTTGCACAAACAAGAAGTTTTCAGAAAGCAGTCTTCTGGGATTTGGCACCGTGTATATGTGGTGTTAACCGACGTTTCGGAGGAACGTATCGCCCCCATCTTCAGGGTAGAAGAAAAAGTATAAGAAATCTGCAAGCGACAACACCGTGAGAAACGGTAAAGCAGACGTTCCTCCGAAACGTCGGTTAACACCACATATACACGGTGCCAAATCCCAGAAGACTGCTTTCTTCATGTTCACCGCCGTGAAAGCCTCAAATCTTACAAGATGTTTTCACTTCATCGGTGATGCCAAATAAGTGTTACCTACAGAAATGTGAAGATGTACACTAATTACATTTTTAAAGCAACAATAAAAAAGAAAGAACAAAATTATGAATATTTTTAATAATAATATACTCTCTTAGAAAATATGTGCCAAAAGTTGCATGGAAAAATTCTGAAATTATATATATATATATGCTCTCTTAGCAAATATAGGTATGTAGATTAATTACATTTAAACACATCTGAAAGGAAAAACAAAACTTGAACATGGTATGACTAATTTATACTCTTCGGGATGGAACAGGTGTGCAGACAGGGCTTAAATGAACTTTTACTTTTTCTTTCTTGCAAATTTTTTCGCTTCCTTCATCATTCTCTTGGAATCAGATTCCTCATCGCCTGAACTCATTCCATCTGAAATGTCTGAATCAGTGTCGGTAGGCTGGTAATCATCTGAACTTGCATCATTTAGGAATGGGTCATCATAATCATAGTCATCATCCCCATAATCATCGTTCCTTTGCTCTGTAGAATAGAAAAGCATAACACAATTATAAGTTTTACTAGGATGCATTTCATGTGTACATCAGAGTGTTTTATATATATCTATGGTATATTTTCAATAACATCCACTATGCAATGGCTATGGAATAAATGGTTCAGAAAAAAAAAGTGGTCTTGGTCTGATTTGAGATACTCTCCTGGTATTTGTCTGAAAAGAGGGAAACCCCATCTAAACTTCATTCAGGATAGATCTGAAACAGAAAGTCAGAAGTGTTACTATTTGAGACAATTTTCTCATTACTGTTAGTGTGAGAAGGGCACTGTGTTTGGTAAGCAGTACAAAGAAACTGACGAGTAACTTTTTTTTTCCCCTTGGCACTACAGCCCCAGTGGGCCTAGGCCTACCTCCATGAATTTCTCCGTTCACTTCGGTTTTTCTAGATCTTAAACATTTGGTAGGACTCCTTGGGCGGGTGATCAGCTCATCGCAAAGCCTCTACCTGTACACAAACACAGAAAAACACACAAACTAAACATCCATGCCCTGAGTGGGATTCGAACCCACAATCCCGGTTTCCAAGCAAGCAAAGACAGTACATGCCTTAGACCGCTCAGCTACCGTGACCGGCTGACGAGTAACTATGCCTACTGTAAATCTTGTAATGACAGGAATTTTGGCAGAATTACTGTCCTGTGCAAATTGTGACTTTTTGGAAAGTTACCCTGGCCCCACTACAAACCCATTGCATGTTCCAATCCTTGCTTAGTTCAAGGTCATTAAATTCATGACATACAATGCAGCGTACCTGTCTCTGCCCATTATTTATTCCCCCTCTGTGTCAGTTTGAAGTGGTTAATGAATGTTCTGTTTGGGTTGCATCAGTGTGTCACATTTGTTTTTGAAGTGTAATCAATGGCCATGGCATTCAAAAGAAAGTTGTTAACAGTAAGTGAGAAAGTTGGAAAAGAATCCAATTGTTTTGAAATGAAACTGCAGCATTCTGTGCTGTCTGTCATTATTAAGCAACTTTATATTTGGAGAGAAAAGTTAGTGTGTGGGACAAATTCCAGGAGACAAAAAAAAACTTTTAATTAAATGAACAAGGTTCAGTGCCTTATTACCGATTTAACTAAGTGTCACAGCTGTTTCAGGTTTTGTTTTGCAGAACACCAATTTAAAGTAAAAAGCATGTCCACCACAAAATCATTAAATTGGATTTTCACTTTATATATCTTTAATAAACTCCATGAACAATATAAACAATAAAAAGGCGCTTTAACCTGTCTGCTGTAATGATGTAAAATAATTTTTTTAACTGTATTCATTTATTTTTCTAATCAAACAATGTTTAAATTCTGGGCGACCTACTTACATGTACTGCAAAGTAGAGTACATCTTTCCATTCTTCTGAGTCCTTCCTTTGAGTGCAAGAGTATCACTTTCCAGTGTGTCCATTACCAACTTGTTTTACACATGACCTCTGACAGTCTTTACAAACTGCATAAAATATTGGATATGACTGCCTTGTTCTATTTGGGTCCAAAGTTGATAATAATACCTGTCTTGCTATTCAGATGTCTAGCATAAATATTACTGTCTTCTGTAACATAATGCTATGTAGTCTGATGGGAAAGTACGGACATTTCAGAAGGATTTTCTGCCTCCATCTTCAGGGTATAAGAATGAAGATGGAAATAGCAAGTTTCTCCAAAATACAGGTACCTATCTAACACACAACAGTGTCACATCTTAGATGACTGTGATCTCAGTTTTCACCATCATGAAAACCTCAAATAAGATATGACTGAAATTAACTAAGAGCAACACAAATCTGTTTCACTGTCAAATGATCAAGCAAGGTGGTTAAAGTGGTAACACTTCTCACTTGTATTCAGGAGCCCCATTCAAATCTTGGCCAGGATGCAGACTGACCTGCAGATTTCCTCAGTCTCTCTAAGAAAACCTGCATTCCCAACTTTCCTCAATTTAGTATTCAAATCTATTTCTCGTTAAATTGATATATGAGTGTTGAATATATGGCTTACTATTCTGTGGCCTTCTTGCCCTGTGCAATCTCACAGTGTGTTTGAAGTCAAGTCTGTGCTGCTTATTTTTGCGATAGCATCCTGTACCATATGGACATTCTGGAAGATCTTTATCATTGTAATCCGGATCTCCAGGATGGCTGAATTCATCATGATGTTGTGCACTTCTCCTGAGAATATAAATCAAATTGACAGTTTCTGTAGCAGTAACTGTACCACGAACTTACAACAGTACTCTTTATGGGGTGAAATTGAGCACCCCTACGTCTCATCCAGTAACAGTATAGAAGACAACTGGTTTGCCATTTATTATATACAATTCATTACCAATATTTTTCTTTTACAGAGCACAACACTGGACTCTCATTCAGAGGGCTCTCAGTTTAATAAACCGGTGTTCTATGTTGTAACACCATGTAGTTCAGAGACAGCTCAACATACTGCCTCCATCATCAGGACGGAAGACTTAAGCCAAGAAAGAAACCAGCTTGGCTTATTCTTCAAGCCTGAAGATGGAAGCAATCTACTCCTTCAAAATGTTTGGTTGTCTCCAAACTACAGTGCATTACTAACCAGATGACCACACTCTTTATAATCTCGGCTGTGAGAACATCAAACTGGTTCTCTGTTTGATCCCTGGTCAGATCCGTGCATAGATTTAAACCTTTGCCTCCACCAAAGCTGAAACTTTAGGTTTCCACTGGTTCAGAGACCAAATTAAGCTGCAGACCCCCTTTGCCGACTGTCAGTGTTGTGATGACCCTAACACTGGTTACACAGAATCCATTCTATGGGTACCCCAGAAAGATTGAACAGACCCATACCTGGAGGCATACAAATCCATTCAACCAATTATATCGTCTTTCATAAATGAAAACATTTTGAAAACATAAAAAAAATACATTAATCAGCAATAAAGATATTAACCCTTCAAAGCACGGGCATTTAACTGCCAGCCCACAGCATGATGCAGGGGGAAGTATTTAAGGGTGTTTAAATTTTGCTCCAGTAAGAGTAAAAATGACAGGCATTTTGAATTGGAACATCTTCCATGGTTTTCTTTCAATTGGAATAAAATTTGGAATGTTAGTTCTCTGCAACCACCTGCTCACAGTGGTTCCTCACTAATGGATTTTTCTACCCTGAAGATAGAGGTGAATGTTCCTCTGAAACGTTGGTTCACATAAGAGTTACGTGGCACCACATCCCAGAAGATGGCATTCTTCAAGATAAACATTATATGCTAATATCTGTACTGCCATCTTGATCTGAGAAAGGCCACTGAATCACTGATGTTCAAACAACTGTGCGATGAGGTTTGGTCTGAACACACAGAAGTATGCTGGTTATCAAGAGGAAAAATTCTGTCTAGGATTTTGAATTTTGGGATTTAATTGAGATGTTTCTGCATGAAAATGGATCAAGTCTGCTTCAGCATTTCACAGATCTGAACCCTGTGACTTCTTTTGGTTTACCCTTCAGATGTGTTTGGAATTCTAAACACATTCCACATTTCAGTGCATAATACAGAAGTGACTATTTCTGGAAGGCAAAGAAAAGGTCCAGTCATTTCATGAGAAATGGGGAAGATGACAAAAATCTGGAAATTTTGAAAATATTCCTCTCTTTAATGAAATCTTTTCAGAATCAGTACATTCAGCAGAAATAAATATTCCTGAGAATATTATTATGCACCTATAAAATTTCAAAACCACCATCAACAGAATTATTCTGACTGGCTCAGTAGCTGATGAAACATGAGCAACTTGATTTTCAAAACAATCAGAAACTATGTTTTGATTTTGAATCACTGAAATTGGATTGATTCTGGTGCAAACATGGAGAGGCACACCCCATTCTGACCAAACGAGCTTATCAAGTTTCAGTTCCATTTGTCACAATCTACCTCTACAGATCATGATTTTAGGCACTTTTTATATCAAAATAAAAGTGAGGAACAAATTAAAAGCTAAAAATGACATGCATATTACTCTCTCAAGAATGTCACCCATAACCGAAATGTTGGTTGCTAAGTAAGTCAGCACTGATGTCCACACTAATGACTAGTAAATTCTTAGTATGTTTTGACATTTGGCACCATTCTTTTTTCCTTCTGCATAACTTTTCCTGTTAATGAACTAAATAAAGTTTGTTTAAACTGATTCTTATCATTTTCATAATACATAACTACACTAAAATCAAAATTGAGAGGGGTACATAATGTCTCACATTATCATCAGGTATGTCAAATGAAAAAACTGCTATACAAACTGTGTATTTCAAAACTTCAAACACAAATAAATGGATTAATTCCTCACAGTTTAATTTTTATTTAGAGTCTGAAGGTTTAAAAATGCAATAAATACAATTCACTTTCTGAAACATTGCATTTAACATTTGAAAACCGGGCCCTCAGCTAGTATGCCAGTGATTTAAATGTCATCTCTTGAAGGTGAATGTTTCATGACTCTTTCCACTGACACACTGTCATAAGACTGTCAGTGTTCTATGCCTTATATGGCATAGAGCCACCAAACTAATGTTTCATCACACATTTCAGTGACAAGCTGTCACTGAACCATTTTATGTTTCATGACTCATTCACGTGACATACTACCATCAAACTATTTAGTGTTTCACAATTCATTTGGCATCTGCCCCCAAACTAATGTTTTGGGATGCATTAATGTTTCATGGCTTATTCCAGTTACATGTTGCCATCAAACTACTTAGTGTTTCATGACTCATTCTAAGGACATTCAGTTACCACCTTTACCTGTAACAGTTTGCACCATACATGCACCTCTTCTTCTGTCCACCTGCTGCTCCCTGTTGTGTACCACTGGTGTCTGTGTCACCTTTCTGGGTTGCAGTACTTGGTTTGTCCTCATTGGATTCCTCAACCTCTGCCTTTACTTTCTGCCCATCAGATTCACCACCTCCCTCATCCTCACTCATTTCATGAAGCTCTGTATTCTCACGTTCTTTCTTGCCTTCAGACACACCATGGTCAGGGTCATCATTACTGCCAGAACCACACTTCTCTTCTGAAGCATCACTGGCTATCTGGTCTAGTTTTACTTTTTTTTTAACCATATTCTCATGTATGGCATCTCTTCTCTTTTGTGGACTTGAAGTCCGTATGTCACTATTACTGTCACCATCTTTTGCCAGATTTGTCATCCACAAAGGTAAATGTCTCTTGTAACTGTGTCCTGTGCCTTGTGGTTCAGTTACACTGTTATCATCTTCAACACGTTCACTCTGATTATTTTCAACTTTTGAAGGTATGACAACACGGAAGCGGTACCCATCTGGCACAAGTGAAAATTGGTCTCCATCATTTATGACCACAAAATCACCTTTGATAACTTCAACAGGCGCCTTCTGTCCTTTTATGTAGAAAAATGGATTAGTGTGGATCTGAAAAAATTATAATCAAGCACAAGGACTTATGGTTTACATGGCAATGTGTATTATGAATATGGTTTTTTAAGATGTTACGCCTTGTAGGTGGTGAACAGCTACCAACATCTTGGGGTAACTTGTTGCCTCAAGCGGCCTCCGTAGTCTAGGGGTAACGTTCCCACCTCATGACTCAAGGTACACGGGTTCAAAAACCCGGCGGAGGTCGTGGAATTTTTAGGGGGCAGAAAAATTCAGGGAATAAGTCCTCCGGGAGGGACTTTAAGCCGTGGGTCCCGTGTCGTAGATTTATGGCACGTAAAAGAACCTCATGTCTCTAGGAGACCTCTGAGCTAAATTAGGCCAAAAAGTTTTGTGCCCAAGTAGTTTCCAATGCCTCCGGTAGATGGGGAAGTATTGGGTACCACTGCCAGAGGAGGGATGACCTCGCTGACAGAAAGGGACTAACTATTAGATACCACTGCCAAGTAGAGGGTAGAAACCTCGCTGGCAGAAAGGGGCTGATAGCTAGCACCAGTACCGGTAGGGGATGGAGACAGTAGAAATTAAAAGGGGGACGTACAATAGACTATCAGTTGCGGTGCATGGGGAAACCCACCCCCTCAATACTGAATAACTGAACTTGCTGCCTCCATCTTCAGGACAGGAAATGGAGGTAGCAGTTCCCTCCAAAATGTTGATACCTGTCTACAAAAATATAAGATGTAACAGCCCAGAAGACAGTGATCTTAATAAACAACCAAATATTCACCCATCATAAAGATGCACTCACCTCCATCTCTTGAGGCGCTTAAGGACATATGGAGTTATACCTCTAATCCACATGCATATTTATAGCAAAGCTCCTTCGTTAAACATGGGACAATTTTACCTTATCAGAAGTGGACAGAGATGACCTTCCACTATATGATCATTTTATGCATTGTGCGAAATGAACTAATACAACAAATATTAAAATGTTTATGTATTATTGTAGGGATGCTGTTAGAAAACTGTGTTAAGTGGGTCCCTTGTCACCATGGTATGGCACATCCTCAGGTTGCAGATGGAGGAGACAGCCTCCAGATTTGGATGGTAGCTGTGAATATACTGAATAAGCAGTCCAGCTCCAGAAGATTTTCATTGCTCAGCTCCTCTGTATGGAACTGAGACAGACCTCGAACTGCCAATCTCTTCTTCAGTGCCAAAGTCATGAAAGTCAGTGCCCATATGAGACCAAATATTTCTCCAAACTCCATTCATGCAGAACTTCAACACTTCTGCCCAGGCACCTCCAATATTATTGACTGCTTTCTACTGTTAAGATTCCTGAAGATATCTTTCACAGTAAGTTGATCTTTGCAGTTGGTTGTGTTCTTAACTAGTTGGATAAATGTCCTCCAAAGATAATAAAAAAGTGGCAGAAACACCCTGATCCACTGGTTGAATAAGTTATGTGGTGTTTGGAGGAAAGAACATTACCTTAATATTCTCATCATTACCACAAACGTGTGGGAGGTGTCCACGAGCATAGACTAGGAGAAGAAAAATTTTACAGGGTATGTTCACTCTTTCGCAGTAAGCCTTCATGAAGGAGTTCACTTTCAAATAAGATTCAAATAAGCTTTCTTATTGAATTGCCATACAACAGGCAAAACCCCCTTACAATAACCCCTGAGTGCTTGAGGATTTTCTGAATGATATACCATCAGAGGTCTTTTATATCTCCATATGCATTTCCGCCAAACAGGAGTGTTTAATGATCCTTGGAATCTTCAAAACCTGAGGCCACCTTCTGCTGCACTGAGACAGATGTTCTGCTCAGCATCCACTTTCAGAACAACCCAGGCTCATTCAGATGAATACCAGTTGGAGCAAATATCCATGCCATTCAATTGCCATGTGGAGGAGGACTAAATATTTATCAGCAACAACTAAATCAGCTGCTGTAGCTTCACCTGTAAGATTCAGGTTGTGGAAACCATGGTATCCTTTAACACGTTCAAACTACCCAGCACTGGCCACAAACGACTGCACTTTTAGAGCTGGCTCAATAGCATTCAGGTTATTAAACATACTTTTCAATTTAGACTGAACGATCTGGGTGGATAGAGGAAAGGCAAGTTGATATTGATGCTCAATCCACTGCACAGTCATCCCTTCCAATTCCTCCATAATCTCTTACTAGCTAAAGCAAGTGTCATGTAACTTCAAACAAACAACTGGCCGCCTGTCACTTCTCACACCCTCAAACCCACCCCCTTGTCTGAAATTTTTCTTCTTCACATTCAGGGTTACTCTTGGCCTTGTTCGAAGTTATGTGACTCTTGCTTTACCATTCTCATTGCACTTTTACAGCTTGCCTTAATTTCCTCAGCTTCTTTCCATATGGTCTCTAAAGTTGATTCATGGATTCCCATGGCATTGAGTATGTCAACCATGCATTTGTTAGGTTCCTTACCACATCACATTTAATTTTTTCTCAAGGGTAACAGATTCCCTTTGTTTCTTGCCACTGGTAGCACTTTTATCATTGCTTCTACATTTGCTCATGGCTGTCAATTTTAACTTTCAAGTTTATGGGTAGCACAAAACTGAGAAGACAAAATGAGATCTTACAAGGTCTACAACTGCAGACTAAGATTACTGTGCCTAAGCAATTAGCACGTTACATCATGTCAAGTGATCGTGCATACAAATATCAATATTTATAATAATTATGAAATTGTGTTAGAGTGACATCATGTATGACAAGAGATATATGTATTCTTCTCAGCAGCCTGTTCTCAAACACACTCAGTTTATGTTCCTCCTTGGGTGATAGGGCTACTTACAGGACACTGTCACCTTAAAGGACACGTTTTCAAACTGGGATTGACAGATGATCCCACTTGTTTAAGGTGCCTATAAGAGGCTGAATCAGCCACACATATCCTGTGATTGTGAGGCCATAGCTTACTTAAGATTTAAAGGGTTAGACAAAGGGGAAGCACAATAGATCAGTGATGGTTGCGGTACAAGGACCAAATTGCTATGGCCCACCCTTACACATACATACATATATACATACATACTCATATATATTCCTCCTTTAAAATGACAAACCAAGTTTCATACCCACACAAAATAAGAAGCAAATTACAATTTTCTAATTTTCACCCTCATGCTTTTAATATACAGGATGATTATGAAAAGACTGCAAATGCAAGATTAATTTATCAAACTGCATCTTAGAGAATTATGGTGTGAATTTATGAGCTAGATCCAACTCACGGGAACCCAATGGCCAGCTCTTTTTTATTTATTTATTTATTTATTTCGTCTCTATAGATCATTGTTACATGATATAGGACAAGTCAGTTACTGTACATCAGTTGATTACAATAAGAATAAAGTTACAATGCTCAAAATTGTTTACACTAGATTACAGTAGATTACAATATTTAAGATTTCATATAGTGTGAGGTGGAATCCATATTAGGTGCCCTCGGCACGTCAGCTTCCATACGTCCTATTGTACCTGTGCTGGTCATAATGCTTATGGAGAATTTGATGGATGTCAACAAGGTAACCAGCGAATTTGATTTCTTTCATTTTGGTCTGTCACACTAACAATATCATTAAAAGTTAAACAGTTCCGTCCATTCACCAGTCACACTGGATTCTTCAGCAGATGGAAGCAACTGTCAGTGAGCTAAGCAACTATCAACTTCCCAAAAAGGACTCTGTACAATGGAGTTTGTTAGAATTAATTTACCACCATCAAGTGCTTAGAAATACAAAGGTGATACACAGCATTCATCACTACATTCCATGGTTAATCACTACTTACTGCTTCAAGAATAATATCCCCCTCTTCAGACAACTTCAGTCGTGCATGTTGATGGGACACCCTTTTATCAGTACACTGAAACAAATTTATATATTAATTGCTTTTGCAAGATGCAGGACAGCAAATGCACAATATGAACATTATGTATAAAATTCACTGTTTGAATAGGTTGTTAAGTTTTGATGTAGTGTGATTTACTGGTCTACTTATTGTGCTGCAACACAGGTCATATGTGGAAAGAACTGATGAAAGGTAAATATATCCCTTCTTCTGGGCTGGCCATATGATTTGTAGCAAGCTCACCTACAACCCTCCCTATACAAGAAGGGGAGGAAATGCTCCCTATCAGACCGAAAATTAGCTTCTACATTGCTCAGGTAACGAAGCATTCATTTTTGGACAAGTTCTGCTTTCTATAGTTATATCATCTTTCTATACAATACAGAAAATCTACCAAATTCTATGCACAAGCCCAAGCAACACACAAAAATATATAGGACCTATAATACCATCCGCCTGAAAATTCCAATAATCCACGTCCTCTAGGAATGACATAATAACTTCTGGTGCTTTGCTGACAGTGGTGTGAAGTTTTCCAATGTAAGCAAAACCTAACACTGTATACTATTTACCAGTTATATTGAAAAATATGATGTGAATACACCAGAACGCCCTGTTTAAGGCGGGCTTTGCTTATGTTTATACTGGGATGGGTTTTGTTAGATTAGTTTCATCTGGCCTTGGGCGATCTCAACGTTACGCACTTGTACCGAACCTATTGTACTTACACCTAAAAGAGGGCCTCTCCCTAGGGTAATTTCTCCAAGGGCAAGATTTACTTCATCCGCACTCTCATCCTGTCGTATTAAGCAAATATTCATTTTGACTTCGTTATAATTTCACCATTGCGGTGTACCAAAAAATGCTCAGAACCATCCGGCAAATTCAACAGAAATTCGCTGAGATTATTAACACAAACAGTCACCACACAACTGAAAACCGAAACAATTAGAATACCACATATTCCTACTACTTCAATGCCTCAAACGCCTCAACAGTCTCAACAACACCATTCCACCATGTTAGCCGAGCCCTACGCCCCCTAGACTCGGCGTTCTGTTCTGGGCAAGCAGGGGAAGATATCGGAAGGATAACGAAAAATGTTACGGTAAAAAAGAGGTTAAAATTGCAAACAGCTGATCGGCGATCGGCTTTTGGACTGATGGTGTTCGGTTAGAATATAAATAATGAATGTTATAACGGGAGCAAATCGTTTAAAATTTAATAATTGCAGTATTATAACGTCGTTGTGGCGATTTTATGCTTCTGGAAGTGCAGAAAACATAGAAGAGCTAGTAAAGAAGAATAAAGTTGTTGTTTTCATGAAAGGTGTCCCAGAAGAACCAAGATGTGGATTTAGCAATGCTGTAGTCCAAATATTTAGAATGCACGGTGTAACGTACGACGCTCATGATGTTCTTAAAGACGAAGAATTACGGCAAGGTGTGTTTTGTACCGTTACATACATATACATTTGATTTTCTTTAAAATATTCATAAATGTGCTACCGGCACCGAATATAAAACATGTCACCAAGCAAACAAAACATTGGACACTTGTACATTCACAAATAAAATCACTAGCATATATAATCCATACTTGTCAAAAACACATACAATAGTTAAAAGGCAATACAAATTGCAGCAAGTATGTATAAGCACATAGTGTTTAGTGAAGTGTGCACTGTCAGACACCTCTTTTCCTTAGCTGTAGGTCTTGACAGAAAAGCAAGAATTCCTCAACAGTATAAGAAGGGTTTTGAAGCAATACCAGCTATTGTCCTAGGGATCCATGGGAAGAAAGTCGCAATTTAACTTGGCTACATGAATTTTGTTTTGTTTTTTTCATTTAAGGAACGAATCAAAAATCTTAAAATATAAAGATTAAAAAATTGTTATTTGCTCCCGTATATGGGGTGATACTTGATTTCTCACAGTAAGAGGAGAACGTAGATGGGTTTTGGAGAACTGAATGCAGAAGAGAAGCAACAGGATGTGGAAAATTGCATGAAGAAAAGCTCATTAATTTGTATTCCACATATAGCATTATGGTAAACAAATCAAAGAGTTTGAGATAGGTGGGGCATGTAGCACATGTATGAGGTGTGAGAAATGCATATAAAACATGAAGGGAAAAGACAAATTTGAAGATGTAGGCCAAGGTGAGGAAAGATATTAATGAGATACTGAGGAAAACTACAGTCAGATCCTGGCAAAGTTTCAAACAGAGTACCTCCCAAATATGTCAGAAGTGTTACTGCTTGTGTAGTATAAATGATTAAGGGAAATCCAAATAACATGGGTTTGTTGTGTTAGTAGTTTGTTTCATGTCTTCAGTGAATATTGTATTGGGTCATTTTGAAGAATTTAGTGCAGTAGTTTAATTTTGCCTGGAATATATTTATGGGTTTTGTAAGGTTCTCGCAATAAACGTAATTATTTCATTAAACAGAATTGACCAATTTGTCTTTATAATGGGGATGCAGTGTGTTTTCTGTGAGACAGGAATTTGACATTCCAAAGTGTTAAAATATCATCTGGTATGCATTCAGTTTCTTTACATATAAAATTGTGTGTTCATTGCATTTGGAAGGAATAATTTTGCACTGGATATAATTGAAAGGCCTAAACAAGCTTATCTAAAATACACACACCTGGATGTTTACATTTGTCCAATTGAATGAGTTTGTTTTGTTCTGGTTCATATCTCGCAGTCTGTATGTATTTTACAGTTTTACTGAAGAACCTGGCTTCAATATGGCATGTCTGTCAGAAATTTTATACATGAAAACTGTCAATACATCATTTCATAATGTAGCAAAAATGAATTTCCATATGATAGGCACTTTACTGGGAGTCTGAGAAATTTGAGTAGGTTAATGTAGTGATAACACTAAGGAATTAATATTATAGGTTTCCATATTTTTACTTAGTCTCTTGATGCAAATGCCTGGATAGTAGATTCATTCAGTATTCTCACATGTGTACTGGTCATGATCATCTTCCCTTACATCTGAATATATATAATCTGTGTAGTTTATTTATTTATTTATTTATTCACTTCACATCCATGGATCATTATACATGACATAGGACAAGTCAAAACACTCTATAATCCAATACAACGATACAATAAGACAATACAATGATACAATAATAGAATAATAAGAAGAACAATATAATTTTATACTAATATAATAATTAAATGATGAGCACTATATTTATCAGTCACAACACATCAAATCTGAGAATAGATTAACAACATGTAAGTTTTAAGGTTTTCACGGCGATGACAATGAAGAAGTCGTCTTCTGCATTTAGGCACCGTGTATTCTTCGTTTTGGCCGACGTTTCGGAGGAACGTAGCGCCTCCATCTTCAGAGCAGTTGAATGGCTTGGAATGCGGAGAGCAGTAGCTGTGGTGATAGGATGTGAAAGGTGCTGCTTATATACGAAGTAGGCAAGGGGGGTGGTTAGGGAGAACGGACCAATGGGAGCAGTGGGGAGCGATTAAGACCATATATGGTGTGTGTTGA